TAGGTGCACTGATGGTGAGGACACCGTCGGAGGACATTGCTGAAGTGACCGCATTCATGTCTACTGCGCCAGGAAAAGTGAAGCGCCGACAGAAGCTCTTGCTTGACCTCAAGGTTCCGTCGTTCTTCTCCGTACGACCTTCCACCACCACCTCCTTGTTGTCCACCACCTTCACTTTGACGTCTTCGTTCATGAAGTCGTGGACGTCCAACACCACCTAATTCCATGATTTAAAAAAATCAACACTTCATCCTGATAATTGATACTGAATTGAATATGAAATTGTATATCCTAATGATAAAAGATATCGTCTCACAACTAATGATTTTGTGATATACGAAAAAAGGTGAAGTCGTTACTTTCATATACTATTTAGAATATCTCATCGCGACGCCTTATGTTTACCTTATATCCGTATTGATCTTCTGTCGTCTTCATCGCCTGAGTCTCATCATTGAGCTCACGTTCCCGTAGACTTCGGTAGGAGGATAATTCGTTGTTGGCACTCCTTATAATGTCATGCCTGCTGAGGACTTCACCAATAGCCATTTCGAATTCCTTTCGAACGTCTTCAAAGAAGGAATCAGAGAAGAACTGACCCTTCGAGGAGATGGAAAGGCACTGGTCGCCCATTGTGTCTTGGCTCGACTGTATGTTTTCTAAAAGTGAGGTGCCACTTTCGCAGATTTTATCATGGGTGCCTTTTTCTTGGTTTTCCTCACAGATAATTTTGTTCGCAAGTGACGATGTCGCTTCAGTCCGTTTGTCACATGTATTTAGAAATTCGGAATGAAGCTTATGCTGTTCTGATTTTAATTTATTTGTGAGAGTTTCTTTTCCTTCTGTCTTTTGAGATGAAGTCTGGGAACTCTGAGATTTTGACGTTTCAGAAACCGCACTGAACTTGGATCCTGATGTCTGATTAAAGAAAGTTGAAATTATTGAACTGTGCTTAAGAATTATATCAGTCGTTTGCAATCCATAATGTAAAAGGAGAAGATTAGTGAAAATGCTCGTTTAAATTTACCTTTGGTACAGTAACAGTGAGGATGCCGTCAGATGATATCCCGGACCTCACGGTGTCGGCACTCACGAGTCCTGGGAAGCAGAAACGGCGGAAGAAACTCTTGCTGGACACGGAATCGTCTCGCTTGATCTCCAAATTGCCTTCGACTGTTAGTTCATTCTCGTCCACCACTTTGACCTTGACGTCGCCTTCCTTGAAGTCTTGTACATCCACCACAATCTGAATTAATTGGAAAATGATATTGATATTAATTCGCACGCGTGGATGCAACAACATGAGTTTATGAAACGAACGATTGTGTAAATGATAAAATGAAAGTCAAATGTCATATCGCTGACCTTATAACACTGGTGGTCCTCGCTAAAGGCGACGGCTTGGTTCTCTTCCTGCAAGTTGTGCTTTCGCAAGTTCCTGTACATGTCCATGTGGTCGCTCGCAGAATCCAGTTGTCCCCAGTCTTTGAGAACTTGGTCGACGGCTTGTTGGAATGTCTGTCGAGTGTCCTGGAAGAAGGAATCGCGGAAGAAAGGCCCTCTTTCGGAAATGGGAAGAAGGTGGAAGGGAGCAAGTGGCTTGGCCTCCGTCGACTCGCTCGAAGCCTGCGTGTTCTGAAACTCCGTCGAATGAGCCTGATCTTCTTGCACTTTCACTCGAGATGATTTTGATGATTTTTCTTCGACACTAACTTGTTTCGCTTCGCCGTTGTTTGTGATATTCTTGTGTGTATTTGTAGTATCTACAGACGTTTTGTGCGAGGCAGTGATTTTAATAGTTTGACCCTCCTTGTTTGTTAAGTAACTCTGGAAGAAGAATTTCATATAAATGAAGGTTTCTTGTTTGTAAATAATAATAATAATAATAATAATAATAATAATAATAATAATAAATAAATAAATAAAATAAAATCAGTTGATGTGTAGCCTGTAAATGATGGTCATGTTCAATCCATTTTCACATCTTTTACCACGTACCTTCTTCGGAACAGTGACAGTAAGAACTCCATCTGTCGACATGGATGAGGACACAGTGTCTTCCTTCAAGAGACCCGGGAATGAGAATCGTCGACAGAAAGTGTTCTTCGAGACGGCGCCATCCTGTCGCTTCTCGACGCTGCCTTCTATCACCAGTTCACTGTCGTCCACCACCTTCACCTTGATGTCGCCGTTCATGAAGTCACGGACGTCAATCACGACCTGGGGAACATATACCTATGAATGACCAGATATGATGGAGACGCAAACAACAGATTGACTCCTTAAGAAGATAAACAACAGTATACTGTATGTAAACGACATTTACCTGATGGGAGCTGTCGTCCTGCTTGACGGAAAGAGCCTGAGTCTCTTCCGTGAGGTTGAGGTCTCGCATTCGTCTGTAGGAAAGCAGGTCATCCTCGAAAGGCGACCTGGAGTCCCACAGGTCTAACGTGTCCTTTACGGCATTATCGAAATGTTCTCGGAGATCCTTGAAGAAGGAGTCATGATAGAAGTGACCTCGTGAGGTGATGGGCAGTGCGACCTCTCGCTCTTCTTCTCTGTCGAAATGGGTTGTGTGATTCCTTGGACTGACACGATCAGAGGCGATAGCACTGTCACTGCCTGTTATGCTATTGCTTGAAGTGCTTGTTCTGGCTGTGTTAAAGCAACTGCTGGCCGTGAAGGTCTTGCTGGTCGCTCTTTCTGAATTCTCTTCAGTAAGAGAGGAAATGTGCTTCTGAATTGGGGCCATTCTTGCTCTTGAAGCTTGCACTGGAGAAATGTAGAAAACGTTGGCTCAGAGAGTCCGAAGCTGCAATGTGTTCGCTGCAAGTGTTGTCGAAAGACTGAATGGTGAGAAGTACCTCGCGCCAAGCTTTATGTGCCGGGGTTTGGACCGACGCCCATACCCCACGTGTATGATATGACGTCATGGCAGTGTCCGATGCTTTCTGCTGCGGGTGAGAACTTTCTGGAATCTTCGATCTCGACTGGCGATTAATGCTATTAAGGTATACAAGAGCACTTAATTACTTTCATTAAGGACAACATTCATTACAGGGAGTTATGCTATGTTAATGATGATAATGATTATGCAGGTGTTTGATAATAATGGCGATAGATTAATGATGGTGTTTTTTTGTGCTAAGAGTAATGGTAATACTGACGATTATATTAAAGATAGTAATGATGAAAATGATCGTCAGTATAATTATGACATTTATTATGGTAATGTTATCGTTGCTGCTACTACTATTGGTGGTAATGATAATGTGCATACATACATACATACATACATATATACAGATTGGGCTATAGATAACATAAAGAGGCCAAGGACCAGATCAGTGGCAATATGGCGTGACAAAATAACCAAATTTGGGAGCCAAGACCGAAAAAATGCAAGACAGACAAAGTTGGAAAAAAATGGGAGAGGCTTACGTCCTGCAATAGATTGATTCAGGCTGATGATGATATATATAAGTGTATGTGTGTACACATGTGCACACAATACAAATACATACATATATAGGTATATATGTAAATATATACATATACATACATATACACGCAGATACATACATGTAGGCACAAAGACATATGTGTGTATATATATAAACATATGTATATATATATATATATATATAAACATATGTATATATATATATATATATATATATATATATAAACATATGTATATATATATATATATATATATATATATATATATTTACATATATATATAATACATGTGCGTATGTCTACATATATATACACATATATATACATATATATATAATATATGTTTGTGTGTGTATATATGTGTGTAATGATTATACATATGTAATGATAATGATGATATGTATGTATATATACATATATATATGTGTGTGTGTGTGTGTGTGTGTATATGTGTGTGTGTGTGTGTGTGTGTATGTGTGTGTATATATATGTGTGTGTGTGTGTGTTAATATATATATATATACGTGTGTGTGTGTATACACAAATGTCTGTGTGCGTGTGTGTGTATGTGTGTATATATTTAATTAGTTATACATAAATATATATGATACATATGTATGTATATACAATATATAAATGTATATATATATGCATATATATAAGTGTGTGTACTATATATATACATAAATACATATACATACATACATACTAATATGCATGCGAGTGTATGCATATATATACATATATATATACATATATATGTATGTGTGTGTGTGTGTGTGTGGGTGTATGTATATATATATACATATATATATATGTATATATATGTACATATATATATGTATATATATGTACACATATATATGTATATGTATGTACATATATATATGTATATATACATATCTGTCCTGATATATGTAAGTATATGCAAGTGTGTGCATGCAAACACCCACCCACAAATCTATCTATCTATTTATTTATCTATCTATATAAATACATACACATATATACATCTTATATATGTAAGTAAATGCGTGCGTATGTATGCACACTCACACACATACAAACACATACACACACACAAATATATATATACACACATATAAACATACACATACTTATACATAAATAAATATATGTATTTATGCTTGTTTCCATGTATACACACATACTAGATTCGTGAACAGCTATCAACAGATAATGAATATAATAAAGTAATGAACTTTCCTTGCCTGATATTATGCACTGGCATTTCGTGTGAGAATAAGAGAATGGGAGAGAGAGAGAGAGAGAGAGAGAGAGAGAGAGAGAGAGAGAGAGAGAGAGAGAGAGAGAGAGAGAGAGAGAGAGAGAGAGATGAATAATAATTGAGATTAGCGAAGAGAGAGAGAGAGGGGGGTGGGGAGAAGATTGCCACACAAACAATTCGTGAATACATTTCTCTGTACATTGTTATAATATTTTTCTATCCATATTGTTGAATAAGCAATGAATAATGAAAATGCACAAGCATACAAATGAAACAGCAGGTGCCA